ATGTCTTCAAATGCATGTCAACCTTATCTTTCAGAATCACCTCCAACAACTTTCCCACCATCGATATTAGATTCACAGATCTATAGTTCCCAGGCTTCTCCTTACCGCCTTTCTTAAATAAAGTCACAACGTTAGCCACCCTCCAGTCCTCCAGCACCTCACCCATGGTTATAGGTGATACAAACATTTCTGCCGAGGCACTGCAATTTCTTCCCTAACTTCCCACGATGTCCTGTGATACACATGATCAAGTCCTGAAGATTTATCCACCTTTATGTTTTCTAAGACACTCCAGTGCAAAACTGAGGGGATGCTGCACTACTGGACGTGCCACCTTTCAGATGAGATGTTAAACCAAGGCCTAAGAACCATGTTGGGTGGCTGTAAAACAACTCATGGCACCCTTCTCTTAGTTTCATGTGGTCATTTCTGATTCTTCCCTTCTCTCCCTTCCTTAACTTCTCTGCACATTTTCCAGCTATAGGCTATCAACTAGTATTCATTTTGACCACAATGACTCCCACAGATATTATAATACTTTCTCACAGTCTACACCATGTAAGGTCTTCATTCTATTCTCTGAGTTCCTCTATCTCTGTCAAATCTGTTCCGATGATGCAACCTTTCAAACAGAAGAACCTTCTGTAGATGCTTTCTTTTTTCTTCTAACTCAGGATTCTGTCCCATGCGTAATCTCACACCAACATCTTTGTTCTTGGCATGCTACATTGTTGCAGTGAAGCTGAATGCAAACTTGAGGAATAACGCTTCAATTTTCAATCAGGTACTTTTCAGTCTTCTGGGCTCTGCAGATCAGTAAATTCACTCTAAATTCTGTCCCATTATTTTGTTTCCTCTTCTGTGCATGAATTTTGTTCTTCCTCATTATCACTTTCAGACAGTAACACACCTGCTGTAGGCAAATCTCTTGTTTCCTGTTTTTTTTTCCCCTCAACATTTCCATTGATCCCATACGACTAAGACTTAGGTGAATCAATTTGTTCTGTCCTCGAGCTTATAACAGATCTTCCCGTTGTTCTTGTCCTACCCACCCCTTGCTCAAAATCTATTACATCTCTAACATTTTCCAGTTGTGATGAAAGGTCACGGACCTGAAATATTAACTCTGTCTCTTGCTCCAAGGTGCTGAGTGTTTCTCGCCGTTTCTGTTTGTTATTTCACATTTCCAGTGGCCGCAGTCTCCTGCTTTTTGATTGAGATATAGCCCAATGCCCTGGCCATTATTTGTTCCTCAATCAATGTCACAAAAAATTATCTTGTTATTGTCTCTTTGTTGTTTATGGAAGTTTACTATGCATTTATTGGCTCCCATGTCCCTAAGTTACATGAGTGAGCACATTTCAGAAGTACTTTAAGACACTTTGTGATCCTGAAATTTGCTTTATGAATGCAAGGCTTTCTACTTATTAAATCTTCTTGAAGACTAATGATAATCACTGCACATAGAGAGGAGAATAAGAAAGGTAAAATATCAGCAGCTGGTTGCCATTGTTTGTCTCCTAGGGAGAGTTCTGTTTTCTACAGTTGTAGTCATAGAGTTGTAGAGCTGTACAGCATGGAAACAGATCCTTCGGTCCAACTCATCCTAAACTAACCTAGTCCTAGATGCCTTTTAAATGTTGTAATTATACCAGCCTCCACCACTTCCTCTGGCAACTCATTGAAACTAACAGCAGATGAGTGCAGTATGAGCCTGCCATTCATGTGACCATGCAAACTATATCTCTGGAACACAGTATTTCTTCATATTGCTTGCGAGTTGAAATGAAAGTGCGCTTCTAGCATACAACATCTGCTTATGTCTCTGTTTATGAAACATGTTTCTCTATTTATTGCTGGTGAAATCTCGCTAATTTAGAAAAACTGGGGATTCCGCCCTGTAATATACAATAATATAATATGTTTTAGGCCAAGATGTACAAGAGAGAGTTTCAGCTGTGGAAGTAAAAATGTGGATTCCAGTAGGAGATGTACAAGTCTGAATTCCAGCTGGGGTTGTACGGGTGTGGATTCCTGGTGGGGATGTACAGGTGTGAATTCCGGGTGGGGATGTACAGGTGTGGATTCCAGCTGGAGGTGTACAGGTGTGGATTCCAGCTGGAGTTGTACAGGCATGGATTCCAGGTGGGGATATACAGGTGTGGATTCCAGCTGGAGTTGTACAGGTGTGGATTCCAGGT